ATAAGTAGTAACTCCCCCTGGTATTTTTTACTTTCAGGAAAACGGATTTGTGCGGGAGAGGGACTGGCCCGCATGGAGCTGTTTTTATTCCTGACCAGCATTTTACAGAACTTTAACCTGAAATCCTTGATTAATCCAAAGAAGCTCAATGCCACTTCGAGTTCCGCTGGGGGTCTTTCTTTGCCACCCTTGTACAAAATCTGCTTCATTCCTGTGTGAAGAAGGTCAGGTCATCGGCCTGCTGTGGCTATCTTCTGCCTCTCTCTTATCAATGACATCCTCTGCCTCCTTCCTACTGTTAGGAATGTATTCTGTGACCTGTTGTCTCACATCTCCCCATTCCCTTAAGATGCAGTGAACATCCAATGTCCATTAAGGGGAGTTTCTGGAACTGTATCTATAACCGCTCTTCCTCATACTCTGTAAAACAGTATTTACTGCCGCATATGACAATATTACCTAGTGTTGAGTTGTTCATATGTTATTACTACCAAACACAGTAAAATGATTAATTATGATAATTCAGAGCCATTTCTCCTGTGCATGTTTTAAATAAAAAGTGTTATTAATTGCTGAGAAAGATCATAGACTTTCCTTCTTTTGTGCATAATGCAAGTAGGAAATTAAAGAAAACAGAGTCTCTGGAGGCCATGCTGATCCTCATAATGATAAGCACAGAGAAGGACAAAAGGGAAGAGGGCAGGGAAGCTCTCTTGGAAGAGTGTCTCCAAGAGATACTGGAGGTTTGTATATGAAAGAGAGATCCTGTTTCCAGGGGCAGCTCTAACCTTTATATTGACAAGATCAGTGATGGTTAGGAATGGACATTAAATGTCAGAATTCCTGTACTGCCTGAGTGTTACTTTAATACCAACTAAAGATGTAGAATATTCTTTTCACCCTCTATCCAATTTAGAATCGACTATGAATGTATGGTTTCATATTGCTACTCATGTGTTCTGAGTGTAATGATTCTCTTCCCAGACAAGAAAAACATCTCTAGACAGCCTCACCAGATTGTATTATTCTTCCAGTTTCTATCTCTATGTTTTACACATAATAAATGTGTGACAGTAATTTGATGTGTGCGGACTAAAATGATAAGTCTCATAGCATCTCTACAGCATCAGCAGGTGAACATGTATCTGTGACAAATTCTAGTCTTCTTTACCCCTTTTTTCTGTTTGGAAGTAAGATGAGAAATGACATAACCCATTAACCTTTTCCAAGCTCATCAAGAGGAAGCCATTTATACTTGCATGCATTTGTAATGTAACACACGCATATAGTTGTGTGTGTATCTCCATGCTTGTATGTGTGCATAGGTGTAACATAAAATATAGCATATAATTATATACAAACATATACATGTGGATTTAAAAGTAATTCTTTAGAATATTGGGTTCATATTGCACATACTATTAAAGAACTTGCTGGTGTATACTAAACAATATGCCAGGTTGCCAGGTAAACTTCTAAGGTAATAGAAACATGGGTAGATAATTTGATAGGACTTCTTACATATTAGGAAATGGAAATAGCTATTAAACTTTGAAAATAGCTGAAAAATAAAAAGTACAAATTTAACCTACATTATCCTCCATTGACCTTCTTGGTTGGCAAATGAAAAAATTTCAATTTGTTAGCAAATGTGTGAGAAACAGGCAGTCTTTTTATTTTTTAATGTCAGATTTCCAATTTCATTGATTTCTGTTCTAATTTTTATGACTTCCTTTCTTCTGCCTACTTAGGAAAGAATTAGCTCTTCATTTTCCAGTTTCCTAATGTAGATGCTTAGATTACTGATTTTATATCATTTTCCTTTTTATGAAAGGAAGTTTCTTCATATACATTCAGTGCTATAAATTACCTTGTAAGTACTGTCTTTAATCCACAACCTCTCTCCCACTCAAGACCCAGCACTAATGCATTCTTTAAATTAACTGACACTTATCAAGTTTCAGAATTAATTTTCTGGTTTGTCTTTCCTTGGTGGTTTAGAAAATCTTAGAAGAGGGAAAAGGATTTTCATATTTCAAATAATTCTGGTGGCTGAATGGCTCACAGAAAATGTATCTAGAAATATCGGACTGACCTGCTGAATTATAATTTACTACTTACAGAAATTCTTCATGGCTTTGGACTTGGATTTAATGATTTCATTAATATGACACCCAAAGCATAGGCAATGAAAGGAAAGATAGATATATTGGTCTTCATCAAAGTTAACTTTGTACGTCCAAGGACACTATCAAGAGTGTGAAGGTTAATGAAGGATAATGTAGCTTAAATTTCTGCCACAGAATAGCAGACAATATTTGGAATCATATATCTTTTAAGAATTAATGTGCAAAATATATAAAGTATTTCTAAAACTCAATAACATCAACAAAAGGGACAAAAACTTGTTAAAAATGTGCAAAGTGCTGCAATGAACATTTCACCAGACAAGATAAAGGATGGCTTAAGCACTTGAAAACACTCACATCATCACTCATCATCAGGGTAATGCAAATCAAACCTCAATGAGACACCACCTTCTACCCATTAGGATGGTTGTTCCAAAGATTCAGCAAATAGTAAGTGTTGATGAGAATGTGGAGAAATCAGAAAACCTGTACACTTCTTGTGGGAATGTATAATGATGCAGCCACTATCAAAAATAGTTCAGTTTCTCCACAAAAACTTAATGAGAGAATTACCGTATGACTCAGCAATTCAAACACTCGGTATATACCCAAAGGAAATGAGAGTTGGGTGTCATAGGGATGTTTGTGCCCCACTGTTCACAGCAGCAGCATCCACAACATCAACAGGTGAAAGCATCCCAAGTGCCCTTAGACCAAGCAATGGGATAAACAGCATGTGGTAGATACGTACAGTGGAGCGTTATTCAGGTGTTAAGAAAATGGAAATTCTGACACATGTTACAACATGAATAAAACTTGAAGACATTTTGTTAAGTAAAAATAGCCAGTCATAACTATACAAACTATTTCATGATTCCACTTTTATGCGGTTCCCAGAATAGGCAAATTCATAGGAACAGAAAGTCTCTGTGGGTTATTATATCAGTGGTTGTCAGCGACAGGAGGTATTTGAGAATATGGAGTTAGTTGTTGCTCCATGAATTAATATAAAACGTGTTTGCAGACAGCATTTGTCTTAGGAGTTTTGCAGAGCTTTGCCCTGAAGGAATATGTGGACGTGTTGGTTTGCATTTCAAATGCTGTTACACTCCGAAGGGGTCTCTGAAAGACAGTAGCGGCTGTATCCCACAAGGTGCCGCGTTTCTCAGACCCAAAGGTTTGGATTTGCTTTTTAAACAAAGTGAATCTGTTAGAAACTACAGGATGAGAGGTGACGATGGAGTGCCCCCCAGAACAGACAGCTTCTTGAATGGCTAAAAGCAAAGCAAAGCTCTTGTTTTAACACTCTAGACTACCTATCTCCATTCACAATAACCTAACAAATATGGAGCCAACATATCTCTGTTTAACCCCTCTGTTAAGTGATAAACTTAACTTAGAACTTAGAAGTTAACCTTTGAAAGATTTTATTGCCATTTGCTCATGTAGATAGAATTAGTTAAAGAATCTGTAGAAGCCTTTCGAAAATCTGTTAACCTGAGAGGAACTACCTGCTGTTATGTAAATCTGTTACCCCTGGCAATTATTCACTATTCCCTATAAGTTACCATGTAAGACTTCATTTGGGAATTTTTGAGACCCACGGAGAAGGTCTAGGCCCTCTGAGATCCCACTTTGCCTATAATCTTCATAAACTTATAAAAATATATCTTTGTCTCTGTGCATTCTTTTATTTCTTTTATTTTCCATTTGTCTCTATTATTTTCTTTTCCCTTGCAACTCTATCAAAGGGACCCGGTTTTTGGCAGGGAACATTGGCCATGTTCCCGGCAGTTAGTGTTTAATGACAAAAAGTTTAGTTTTGTAAGATGAAAAGAGTTCTGCAAATAGTATTGTTGGTTGCATAATAATGTGAATGTACTTAATGCTACTAAACTGGACACTAAAAATGATTAAACTGGACACTTTTATGTTAAGCATGTCTTGCCAGAGTTAAATACTCCAAAAATTTACTGCTTATATTATCTGGATCGTACAATAGAATGACAATAACTTAAATAACATTTCTTCAACAAAGCTATCCTGAAAACTCTAATAAAATCAAGACGAAAAACATCACTGGTAAAACTACACACGAGGCATGAGTTGCTGAAAAGATATCAATTCAGAGACCTCAATCCATGTAGTTCCTATTCACAGGTGTCACCTCCAGAATATGCCTGTCCTAGGTCACTCTCCAAAGACTTCCAGGAACTGAGTTCTTGTCAGCATTTTCTCCAGATTGAAGCAATGTTACCCATGGGCAAGTGGGGCTGATGAAACTACTCCACCATGACCAGAAGGATTAGCTTCTCCACTGCATCACTAAACTTAGGAAAAGCCCCACTTCCTGTCTAGCCTGGACACCATTCCCAGAGAGGTCACTGGAGCAGGGCCGGAAAGGTGGTTTATCCTGATTTCAATGCCCTGACCTCAGTTTGTCTGCAAATCCTTCAGATGGTGAAGGGTGAGGAGCCCAGTGGGATCACACCTGGGGGTGAGTCTCCTCACAGAGACCTTTCTTTCCCTGGTCCTACCCATGGACACTAGGCCTTGACATCACTGGTTCTAAGAAGAGGAGGGACTCAAATTTTTGTTGTGGGGAAAGGAGGAGCTTCCTTTTTTAATTTTCAAAATAGTTCTTTTGTATCCAGGGGAAATTTGAGATTGGAAGGCAAATGTGGAGGACAGGCTGGTAGCCAAGAGGATTGTCTGAGGAGAGAGGCGAGGAATCCTCTTGTGTCAGGGGAAGCAGTAACATGTGAATGGAGAGCAGGGAGCAAATGCTCCACGAGGACCATCAACTGCCTGTGGATTTATATCTGTAAAGAAGAGTTTCATCATAGTTGCGAGATTCTCGGTGTAATGTCTGCGAGATCTTGTCTGCAGATGATGAGATTTCTTTCAGCCTTTAAGGCTCTCATCCAATGATAATGGGCTTCTGCTTCCAGCAACAGAATCTGTCTCTGAGAAGAATTGGCTCTTTCTAGCATTTCTTCTAGACCTTTGATTCCTTTTCTGTAG